CCACCCACCCCAGGTTCGGTCCCAGGAGGTCGGGGCCATTGTGTCGAATCGGCTGTTGGGGGCTCAGAGTGAGAGGAGGCAGCCAGCGTGGTTCCGAGCAGGAAAACGGCTTTCATCTTCCTTGCCCGCCACTCATCCCCCCACACACACACTTTAGTAGCCTGGTAGATCTCCAAAAACAGCATTAAGAAGCACACCCACCCACCCACACACGCACTTATTGATCAGGATCTTTAGCTTGGAGAAACGACGACTGAGGGGTGACATGATTGAGGTTTATAAGATTATGCATGGGAAAGGGCAGGTAGAGAAAGAGGTACTTTTCTCCCTTTCTCACAATACAAGAACCCGTGGGCACTCCATGAAATTGCTGAGCGGTCGTGTTAGAACGGATAGAAGGAAGTCCTTCTTCACCCAAAGAGTGATGAACACTTGGAATTCACTGCCATAGGAGGTGGTGGCGGCTACAAGCATGGACGGCTTCAAGAGGGAATTAGATAAGCATATGGAGCAGAGGTCCATCAGTGGCTGTTAGCCACAAGGTATAGATAGGGGCTCTGGGGCAAGTGATGCTCTGTCATCTTGGTGCTTTGGGGGGGGGGGATCAACAGTGGGAGGGCTTCTAGTGTCCTGGCCCCACTGCTGGACCTCCTGATGGCACCTGGTATTTCTGGCCACTGTGTGACACAGAGTGTTGGACTGGATGGGCCTTTGGCCTGATCCAACATTGGCATCTCATGTTCTTATGTTCTTATCTGATCTCTGTCTTCTAATGCGGAGCTCTGGGCTGGTGGCTGGGCGCAGGGACAGGAAGGAAGGGGAGCGGTGCTGAAACGGAGAAGGATGCTGAGTTGGCACACGCAGATGGCCAACTCTTTGGGCACGCTCCGTCACTGTGCTGCTAACAGCCATGAGCGGGCGAGAGAGGTGTCTGTCTGCGGGCGTCTCTTCACATTGTGCTTGAGGCTAAAGGCGCAAGATCAATTTAGCGCCCTCTCGCTTTCCCGTGGTTGTTTGCTGACGTGCAGCGGTCCCTCATGGGGTTTCCAAGGCGACAGCTGTTCAGAGGTGGCTTGCCCTCGCCTGCCTCTGCGTAGCCACCCTGGACTTCCTCAGTGGCCCCCCATCCAGGTACCAGCCACGGCTCCCGAGATCTGGTCAGACGGGGCTAGCCGGGGCCGTCCAGGTCAGGGTAGAGACAAGCAGAGATGGCTTGCCATTGCCTGCCTCTGCGTAGCGACTCTGGGCTTCCTGGGTGGTCTCCCACTGAAGTGCTCACCAGAGCTGACCCTGCTTCGCTTCTGAGATCTGAGAAGATCAGGCTAGGCTGGGCCATCCAAACAAGGTCAGGCGTACAGAGGTGGTTTGCCCTTGCCTGCCTCTGCGTTCCATCCCTGGACTCCCTTGGCCGTCTCCTATCTTGACCAGGGCCAAACCTGCTTCGCTTCCCAGATCTGACCAGATCCCCAAGGCTCCCAGTTTGAGCCAGTTTGGTGTGGCGGTTAAGTGTGGTAGTGTCGTGGTTAAGTGCGCAGACTCTGATCTGGGAGAACCGGGTCTGATTCCCCATACCTCCTCCACTTGCACCTGGCTGGATGACCTTGGGCAAGCCGTAGTTCTGACAAGAGCTGTGCTTGAAAAAGAGCAGTTTCTGTCAGAGCTCTCTCAGCCCCTACCTGCCTCACAGGGTGTCTGTTGTGGGGAGGGGAAGGGAAAGGAGTTTGTAAGCCGCTCTGAGACACCTTTGGGTAGTGAAGGGCAGGGTATAAATCCAAACTCCTTTTCTTCTTCTAATCTGGGAGAACCGGGTTTGATTCCCCACTCCTCCTCCACTGGCACCTGGCTGGGTGACCTTGGAGAAGCTGTAGTTCTGATAAGAACTGTCCTTGAAAAAGAGCTGTTTCCGTCAGAGCTCTCTCAGCCCCACCTGCCTCACAGGGTGTCTGTTGTGGGGAGGGGGAGGAGCTTGTAAGCCACTCTGAGACTCCCTTGGGTAGTGAAGGGCAAGGGGATAAATCTGTTCTCTTCTTCTTCTTCTCTTCAGTCACAGTTACTGGCGAAATGTTAGGTTCTACAATGCCAAGACCACGGCCACACATCCTGGAAAATGTACAGCAACTAAAGTCCCTGAGGAGTTCCAGGGGGCCCAGGGTAGCCGAGGTCATCTGATCTCAAAAGCTAAGCAGGGCCAGTCCTGGTTGGGAGACCACAGAGAGACGAAGTCCAGGGCAGTGTTCCCCTAAGCTGAGTCAGTGTGACCTAGCTCACAGTTCTTTAGCCTCCAGCTCACACATATTCCTCTTAGCTCAGGAAGGAGGGCTCCAGAGCAAATTAATTGATGCAGCAGCCAAACCGCTCGCTCACTACTCTAATGCCAGCAGTAGCTCACCAAGTAGAATGTTTGCTCACAAGACTCCACAGCTTAGAGGGAGCCTTGGTTCAGAGCTGCTGTGCAGAGGCAGGCAATGCGCCCTTGGCCCTTCCCTGGAGAGCCCAGGCTAACCCACTCTTGTCGACTCTTGGAAGCGAAGCAGGGTGGGCCCTGGCTAGTCCTTGGATGGGGGTCGTGCCAGCAGAGGCAGGCGGGGCAAACCACCTCTGCAGGTCTCCTGGCTGGGAAACCCGACGGGACCTGACCGCCCTTTCCACCCCGGGGGGGTCACTTGTGGAGGCCGCGGGCTTCCCGAGGTGGCTGGGCCGCGGCGGCGGGGACGGCGTCCCCAGAGCAGAGGGAGGGAGGAGTGGAGCGGTGCCCTGCAGGGCCGGGGCGAAGGAGTCGGTGTTGGCACCGGGGCGCGGCCAGGGCAAGCGGAGGCCGGTCCGCCAGGCGGGCGACGCGTGCTCGGGGCGCTGCTGGGAGGGCGCCAGGCCGCTTGCAGGAATCCGCCTTTTGGAAAGGCCCGCCGGGAGCGAAGTGGCCGAGGAAGGAGGCGGGGAGGAGGAGGAGGAGGAGAGTGCCTGGAAGCCCCAGTGGCACGCTCGTCCCGGCAGGCGAAATAAAAGTGAAAGCCAGCCTGGGGGGCTATAAAGGGCCCCACTGAGGACGCCTCCAGCCACTCAGACCCTCCGCAACCCCTCGACGCGCCCAGCAGCTCCACCACTCGCCTGCCTGCTGGCCCGCTGGCTCTCCGCTCGCTGCACGCCTTGGTCCTCCTGGGCGCCACCGCCTTCTGCATCCTCCTCGCCGCCCAAGGTACCAACGGGAGGGAGGGAGGGAGGGGGGGCGGTCTGGCAAGGCCAGGCGTGGGCAGTGGGCACTGCCCGTCGTCGGAGCCCCGACTGGGCTCTGCGGTCCCTTTCTGCAGAAGGCGCGGCCGCTGCGCCGCTGCGCCGATCCTAAAGCGGCGCGAGGCAAACGCGCGCTCTCCTCCGGCGCTGGCTTGGCCTTCGCGGCGCGGCGTCCCTTTGGCCCGGGCGGCAGCAGCAGCAGCCCAGGCTGGACGGGACGCGGCGCCCCCCGGGAGCGCGCCTTTGCCTGGCTTCTCAGCCGGGCCTTTTGGGGACCTCCTGCACGCGCCCGGTCCGAATCCTGCGCCTGGAACAGCCGCATCCAAGCCGAGCAAAGGCGCGTTTCCTCCCTTTGCAAACTCTGTTTTGCTTTTATCCGTTGGAGGCGGAGCGAGACGAGAGCAGGGAGCCGATGGGACTCCCGGCCACAAGGTCTGGGGTTGCTTGTTCTCCCTGATAACCATAAGGGACCCCCAGGCTTAGAGGCCGAAGGGACCTGGATACTGGGGAGCAGTTAGTGGGGAAGGGCTCTTGTCTGGGGCCTCTGACTGGCCACCTCAGAGACAGGATGCTGGACTGAAAGGAGCCACCCTTGGGCTGATCTAGCAGGACTGCGCTGAGGGTCTTCTGGCGCACCCCCCCCCCCTCATCAGGTCTTCTTCACACAATCGCAGGCATCTTTTTCACATGGGGGGTGGCATTGGTTTGCGCTTGAGCCTTAAAGGGGGCCTCACATTTAGAAACTTGGGTGGATTTTGGCTCTTGTAGAATTTTGTAAAGTTTTGCCGCTTGTCTTACATTCTCGATGCCTCATTTTGTGTCAATGTGTTGCAATTTTTCATTTCTGTTGTGGCCCCGGGGCCTCAAGAACGTGGAAGCAGCTCAGGCCTTGGGGGACCTCCAAGGGGGCTTGGCTGGAAACTGGGGTGGGGGGGCAGAGGTTAACTGAGAGCGGGCATTCTCAGGAAGCTGAATTTCATGCCCAGCGCTACGTTCTGTACTCATTCTGTGCTCCTGCAGAATTCCGCTTGGTAAACCAGTTTGGTGTCGTGGTGAAGTGCGCGGACTCTAATCTGGGAGATCCGGGTTTGATTCCCCACTCCTCCACCTGCAGCTGCTGGATGACCTTGGGCAAGCCGTAGTTCTGTCAGACCTGTTCTCTCAAGGGCAGTCCTCAAAAGAGCTCTCTCAGCCCCACCTCCCTCACAGGGTGTCTCTTGTGGGGAGGGGAAGGGAAAGGAATTTGTAAGCCTCTCTGAGACTCCTTTGGGTAGTGAAGGGCAGGGTATAAATCCAATCCCTCTTCTTCCTAAACATACAAAAGAAATTATACCCACTTTGCAGAGGAGGTATCAGCAGAGGACAGGACCCGAAGGGTTTAAATTCCATACAGAAAGGTATCGGCTGGATATTAGGAAAGATATTAGGTCAGGGTGGTTCAGAGGTGGAATCGGCTGCCCGGGGAGGTGGTGAGCTCCCCTTCACTGGCAGCTTTCAAGAAGAGGCTGGACGAATATTTGTCAGAGATGCTTTAGGCTGGTCCTGCATTGGGCAGCAGGGGGCTGGACTAGATAGTCTCTATAGACCCTTCTAACTCTATGATTCTATGAACTAAAGCTGAAATTGAACTTGTCCAAGGCCACCCATTGCATCCAAAGCTGAGTGGCAATTAGAACTCAGGTCTCCAGGACCACTGAACAGCAGCTCATGAACCAGTTCTACACCTGGCCTAAACAGGAGTCTGTCTTAGTCGTAAAGACTAGGAGTCATTTCCGCAAAAGTAGTTGTTCTGTCTCCCCCGGTTGCACTGCTCAATTTCCCGCTATTTGCTGCACGGCAGCATTTTGACCCCCCCCCCTTTTTTTTTTCCCCCACGTCTTCTCGATGCAGGTCAAAATGTGGCCATGCAGCAAATAGTGGGAAATGGAGCTGTACAACCGGGGGAGACGGCAGACCGTGGGCGGAACAGCTGCTCTTGCAGAATCGGTCAAGGTTTTATTCTAGCGGAGGTTTTTGCCCACTAGAGACCATTTGGCCTTTGTGGGGCCAAAAGACCCCCGTGGATTTTTGCCGTGAGAGACTAGCATGACTTGCAACGGAGCTCGGAAGACCCTTTAAGTCGCCT